ATCTTCTAATAATTTGCATATCAGAGGTGATATTTGTGACAACACAGTCTAGGCTCATTTGTAGCTCTGCCCCTAAATCAGTTTCCTATAAATCTTTTGAATGTATGACCTCGCTTTCTCTCAGGTACGGTTTGGACTCAGCGCATCATGACGCTGCTGTATGAGAACGAGTTTCCCGAGTCTGCGGATCTGATTTCATATGACTTCATGCCGTGGCTGGAGTTTCCACAGAAAGGGCAGGACTATACGGCTCGCCGCTCCCCCCGCCTCTTCTGCTCTCACCTCCCCGAGCATCTGATACCCTGCGGGCTACAGGACAAAGGGAAGGTGGGACACACACTCAACTTCTCAACCTTTACCATTATCCATAATACATGCTTCCAGTCCCCAGTTAGCTAGCACTCTGATGGCAATTTCAAGGTCATGCTATCACCAAGCAAACAGTAATGTCCCTCTCCGACACTGCTTTGATGTCTACTGTAATAAACATGAGCCTTTATTAATGCTACAGGTTTTTTTTTTCTTATTCCAGATCATCTACGTGAGCAGGAACCCCAAAGACATCATGGTGTCCTACTTCCACTTCAGTCACTTCATGAAGATTTTAGAGCCTTCAAAGACGTACAACGAGTTGATGGAGAAATTCTTCAGTGGGCAGGGTCAGTGCTCTTCATACTCACACAACACACACACACACACACACACAGCAATGTTTTCAAAGTCTGTGACTCTGCTTAGAAAACAGTGCTTGATCCAGCACATCCTGTTGTTTTATTTTTCTATATCACTCTCAGACAGTTGCGCGTCCCACACACATTACGTCATGACCTCGCGTTAGTATCTTGTGGCTTCATTAAGTTGTTGTTGAGGATTTTATCACACTTTTAATTCACTATTTTGATTTGTTGAATTAATAAAATAATGCTGATGCTTGTGTTAATTCGATGCGATCTCCTGTAAAGAAAACGTGTCCATGGTGAGAAGGATAATCTGACCCAGCGCTCGTCTGCTGCGCTTACAGAGAAACTTTAAACTCATTCATCATTTTATCCATAAAATATTCCCTCCTCCAGATAAGCCATGTCTCTTAATGATGTCCTAA